TATCAGTTTTAGAAACAATTTGAACTCCTTGGAGGAAAGTTCATATTTATGGTTGCTCTGGTAGTATTGATAAAACCAGCTCAAAACTCCCATACACTGTTCTTTTGGATAAACACAGAAATTGAAACTTCTCTGCTGTTAAATCTTAAAACTTGTATTTGTTTTATGTGAGTTCCTTCCTCAGGAAAGGATCTTGAAGCCTCCCCCCCCCAAAAAAAAACAGTATTAAAAAATAAAGTATTAAAGAACTGAAACTCACCAGATGCCTCCTTGCCCCTCCCTAGTTCCTGTTTTACATACTGTTACATTTATTTCCTGCTATATAAAACCATACTTTTAGTCAATAAAGAGACGGATTTGAGACTGAGTCCTCATCTGCTTGGCTGCACCACCTAATTAAAGCCTTCTTCCTTGGCAATACTTGTCTCAGTGATTGATATTTTGTGCAGTAGGACCTTGACCAAACCACTAGTGCTTTGGCAACATTACCAGAAACCACTATGATAACATAAGAATAAGCTGTTACACGCCATAATTATTTCACAATCAGAAATTATTACTTCCAGGGGTGGCAAGACCATTGCTACTAGAAATAAAAATAATTATCAGTGTGTTAGGTGATGATAGAAAAACATGACTGTCTTCAGTGTGTTAGGTGATGAGGGAAAAATATGAATTTGTCTCCATTTCTTCTCTAGGGAAATGCTATATTATTACCCATGGTAACTTAACAATTTAACACTAGAGAAACCTCTTTCAGTCCTATACATACCCCCAATAGCCAGGCTCCAAGCAGAAATGATTAAAGAAGATTTCTTTTAATTATACTTGCTGAATTATCCCCATAGTTCCTACATAAAGTACCTGGTTTCCAGAAGTTAATCTAATAAATATTGCTTTGACTGACAACTTTTCTGTCAGCCTAAGATAGTTTCTCAGAGCTAGAAAATACAGACCACATGGGCAAAGACCAAGAGATTTTCATCAACAGTCACGGTACTATGCAATTTACGAGTTCCCATGCCTTCTCTAGAAAAATCAGTCAAGCTCAAGGAACCCATATAAGCCATCTGACAAACCCAGTTGGCACTGTGGTCAAAAGAACTTTGCTTTCTCATCATTCATATGCCTGAGTGGGCTAGATTTCCAGGGCTCTCAGTCCCAATCAAGAACATAAGGCTAAGAGGCAGAGACAACAGCATCTGAAAATTTAGCAGAACACAGCCTTTGGTGACAGCCTTCATTTGAATTCTGGCCCTGGCACTTCACTGCTGTGTGACCTTAGCCAAAGTACTTAACTTCTCTACTCCATAGGTTCCCTGTCTGTTAATGACGATAATGAAAAGCATACCTCAAAAGGTTGTTATGAGGATTAAATAGCTTATCTTTAAGTAGTGCTTGTTGCACTATTAAGACCTGAATGGGCAAGATGTGCCTCTGTTCTCAAAAACAAAAGGAGGTTTTATTTCTTTTACATAATAGATAAGAATTCATATGCAGCCCGGCAGGGTGGCTCAGGCCTGTAATCCCAGTACTTTGGGAGGTCGAGGCAGGTGGATCACGAGGTCAAGAGATCGAGACCATCCTGGTCAACATGGTGAAACCCCGTCTCTACTAAAAATACAAAAAATTAGCTGGGCATGGTGGCGCATGCCTGTAGTCCCAGCTACTCAGGAAGCTGAGGCAGGAGAATTGCCTGAACCCAGGAGGCAGAGGTTGCGGTGAGCCGAGATCGCGCCATTGCACTCCAGACTAGGTAACAAGAGCGAAACTCCGTCTCAAAAAAAAAAAAGAATTCATATACAATAATATGTAATGTTTTTATAAAGGTAATTTTATGGCATTTGATTACAAGAGCTTTGCTAATCAAGCTTTCACATAGAAGATCCCTTCTTCAATGGTTAGGTAAGAAAATACTGCAATTAACACTGGTGGGAGCACTAGTAAAGTCTGCTCAGGTTATCATAATGCACAAATAAGACCTCTGGTGAAACAGAAAACATTGTATATATGTACCACTTACATGGGAAATATTCTGATCTCAGTTCTTTTTTCTTGACCATCCTTTCAGTCAGTATTTTTCATTGTTTCTTTTGGTAGGAACCAACTTCTGCCAAGTTCTCTGAATGGCTACTTCCTACCCTCTAGTTCTGGGTATCATGTACAGATATTTGCAGTGATTTGAAAGTAGAACCTGAGAAAAGATTTGTCCCTCAGACTTTTTCATTAGCAAAGCGCCGACTCCATTTCCAGGATAAACCAGCAGGACCACATTCACTTATTTCAGTCCTTCATTTGCTTATTTTGTGAGGCCTTTCTATGGACATACAGCACCCCCAAAAAAGGAGAGAATGAAAGAAAAAGACATGAACCCTCTCTTTCATAAACTATACTTTATAGACAAACTACACAGAGATGAAGGTTTCTCATGAATATGATACAAAATTAGTAAGGGTGAGGAAAACAACAACAACAAAAAAAAAAAAAAAAAAAAAAAAACTCTGACCAGAAAAGGGAGACTCAGTAAGAGACAGAGTTGAGTTTCTGGAGGCGGGAGTTGCCAATTTGGACTTCAGAAGCAAGGCTCACATCATCCTGAACAAGAGCAGCAGAGGGAGAGAGGTAAATAAGCTTCTGTGCAACAAAACCCTTTAGTTATGAATGTCTCTGTATGATAGGGGAAAAAGTGGTATCCTGCCATATAGAAGTCCCTATGTGTTATCCCCTAGCCAGTTTGTTTGCAAATGGCTTGTCTAACTTTCTCAGGCAGTTTTGCTAGCTTTTAAAGAGATTTCTCTAATGTAGTTCTCTGGCTTTCAACTCCCACAGGGGTTTTAGGGCAGTGTTTGAAAATGAGAAAGATAAAAATGCATTCCTCTTAGAAGTTCATATAAAAGCGAAAGAATTGGAATGAAGGTAGGAAGCTATTATGTACCTTGGTAATCTATTCTGCCTGTAACTCTAAAGGTTGATGAGAGGCAGTGTGATTTCAGGAGGATTCAAGAGGAGATACTTCCACTGCCCTCATTGCAGGGAGCTCATTGGCTCCAAAAAGGTCACTGTCACAGTGATTCTGAATGACATGAATAAAGGATATTTAAACTTGTCTGAGCTAGTTCCTTGTAGCACTGTTTATAGTAGTAAAAGTCTGGAAACAACCTGAATGTCTTTTCCACAGGCAGATTAGAGAAATTAGGTAAGGCAGAAAGAATCTTTTGGCAGGAGGTAGGATGTATGTTCAAGGGTACTGATCAGTATTAATATCAAAATCCACCAGAATGTTCTGTGCTTTGTTCTTTCATTGCCAGAATCTAAGATCTTGGAAACATAAAAGCCAAAGTTAACTTCTAATATTTTCCTTGTTTTCAATTTTACCCACCCATTCCCATATACAGAGCCACCTCTAGTTTAATTAGGGGGACGGACTGAAGTGGTGCTATTTTCTTTGTCTCTTTCTCTTGCTGTCCCTTCTCTTTCTCTTCATATATTTCTCTTTTCCCATACACACATCCCACTAACATATATGGTTTATGTTTTGCTTTAATAGGCATAAGATTTACCTCTAATCTATATTCTTAGAGAAAAATGCTATGTAGTCAACTAAAAATAATGATAAGTGCATAATAAACTGCATCCCCTCAACAAAAGCAAGGCATAGAACAGTGTGCATAGCTACCATTTATATAAATGTGGGTATCTCCACCTATATATATAAGGGACTAAATATTTGTGTCTCCTCAAAATTCATATGTTGAAACCCTAACCTACTATGATATGATGGTATTTGCAGATAGGGTCTTTGGGAAGTGATTAGGTTTAGGTTAGATCATGAGGATAGGGTCCTCACGATGGAGTTAATGCCCTGATAAGAAGGGGAAGAGAGATCAAAGCTCTCTCTTTCTACCATGTATGGACACAGACAGAAGGCAGTCATCTGCAAGCCAGGAAGAGGGTCTTCAGTAGAAAACAAACCTGCCAGCACCTTGATCTTGAACTCCCTAGACTCCAGAACAATGAGGTATAAATGTCTTCTGGTTAAGCCACCCAGTCTATGGTATTCTGTTCCAGCAGCCCAAGCAGAGTTAAGACTACACACACACACACACACACACACACACACACACACACACACGTGCACACAAACGTTTGGCAAGTCATAGAACATTTCCAGAAAGATAATTGAGAAAGTAGCAATATTGGTTGTGTCCCACATGAAGAGGAGAAGGCTGGCTGGGCACAGTGGCTCACGCCTGTCATCCCAGCACTTTGAGAGGTCGAGGTGGATGGATCACTTGGTGTCAGGCATTCAAGACCAGCCTGAGCAACATGGTGAAACCTGGTCTCTAGTAAAAAGCCAAAAACATAGCCAGGTGTGGTGGCACGCACCTGTACACCCAGCTACTAGGAAGGCTGAGGCAGGAGAACCGTTTGAACCCGGGAGGCAGAAGTTGCAGTGAGCTGAGACCGTGTCACTGCACTCAAGCCTGGGCAACAGAGTGAGACTCTGTCATAAATGAATGAATGAATGAATGAATGAATGACAAGGAGAAGCCTTAGGAGATCTAAAATCAGGAACTGGAGGAAGATCTACTTCTAGACTAAATAAAACCTACTTATTCACACTAAAAATATTCATATGAATATGCAATATATGTGTGTATGTTTTAATAATAAAAAAGTCACTATCAGATTTTTTTAAATGTCTGTCTCAATGGTTCCACTGAAAGTAACAAAGCAATTCTCATAAAGTCCCTGCAGTTCACTAACTTCCATCAACTATTGGGGGTTTTTCAAAAAGACTGTGACACATTTTTTTAATATTCTCTTAAAATGTTTCTTACTCTAATATCACATCTTGCCCTGAGGGGGATGTGGGCATGTCCCATTAAGAACAGACCTTATGTGAGAACACTGGTAAGAACAAGATTCCAATGGTCATTTGCTAGGTCTTATATGACTAGGTCATGTCTTAATGTGCTACAAGATAAAGTGAGACTTACCAGTAGAACCTGTTTGGTACAACCCCTTCTTGGATAAGCTGCCACCTTCTCCCAAATTCAGCAGAGCTGTATAACTGTAAAGAACAGAAATTACTCAGCACTATGGTTCTACAGTACATCAAATATACAAACGTCAGTTCATTGGATCAATAGTAACAATAATACCTAACATTTATTGAACACCTGTCATATGCAAGGTGAGTGCTTCACACATGTACTGTCTCTATTCCTTACACAAATTCTGCACGGTAGATTCATATCTTCATTTTACGGTTGAGGAAACTGAAGCTTTTAAGGATTAACTGACTTTTTAGAAATTACATATCGAATAAGTAGTTGAACAAACTGAAATGCACACCCTGTTCTGCCTGGTGATAAAGTCAGCTGTGCCACTTGACCTAGCATGTGCAAAGAGTGCAATATCTAGACCTGGTTCTGGAAGAGCACGCAATGTAATCCGAACCTGGCTAACATCATGAGAAATGCACGAGGCAGCCAGTGATAAAATAATGCGGAGACGGGCACCAATTCAAGGATGCTTCCCAGACACTGTGGTGAAACAGCTGGGACCTGAATGGATACAACATTCAAATGGACAAAAATAGCATTATTCACAAAAGGAGCAGCATGCGTCAGAGTGGTAACATAGACAGGGCCAAGACAGAATAAGCAGAGCTTATCTAAGTAAGTCTGGAGAGACAGGTTTAGGGCAAGTTGCAGAGGTTAAGAACTGATTCTGCAGAAGCTAAGGAACCAATGTTGGTTTTTCTAACAGTAACCAGAGGGACCTCAGACTAGAAGACAGCAATCCACGTTGACTATGCTGTTACTAAGATCCAAGATCCAAGTGCTTCACACACATTACTTTATTTAATCCATACGCTATCTCTGTGATCTATGAAGTTATTATGTCCATTTTACAGCTGCTACAATTTCAAATCCATTTTCTACCTTGCTTCAGTACTCTCCGAGAGCAGCTGCATTGAGTCACAGTTCATGAAATAGAGACCGATCCTTCGCATACTCCATACTTAAAATGCCTTCTCTTGTGTACTGTTCTTTGTTGTTCCTTGTTATCCTGCTCCTGGTTGATAATCTTTACATCACCGTGGGACCCCCTCTGCCTCTAGAAGTGTCCCTTGATGACAGCCCGAGAATCCTGTTGCTGTAGGTATTCTAGTTGCCATGGGCATCTAGCTACTGATTTGAAAATATAGGTACCATTTACGACAACCCCTTTCTGTTATGTGTCTGATTTGTAACCCACCTGCACCTGATTCTTCTCCCATTGCATTTGCCACCTCCCATGGTGAATGGATGGTGAGTCACACTGCACTCAGTACCACAATGGCTCAGCTTCTCTCTCTCACCCCAGCCCGACCCTGAGTGAAGAGTCAAATGACTCACCAAGCAACTCACCAAAGCTGCCACATGTACCAGGCATGTCCAAGGAACAACTCAACTCAAGTGAGTATTTACTGACTCTTGAAACAACCTGCTACAACATTGTGTCCACTGGATCAGAGCACAGCCTGATACCAAAAAATCACTGAACTATCCGGATACCAAAGCGAGCAGCTCAGTTGGTTCCAATTACACTTCATTCAGATATCTAGCCAAGGAGAATCTGTAACTTTTCCTAAGTCTTTTTTATTTTTCATTCTTTGGCCATCATGCCCGGGGGAGAATGGTTTCCTGGGTACATTTCGTGTTTGATGTATTTTATGAGTGCCAAGGAGAGACGGGTGACAACTCCCCTCATAGAGATAACAGGATGGGAAAGGTCACACTTTCCTAACTCAGAACCCAAACAGCCAGTGTATGTATGGCCTGCTTCCTGTTCCCAGCATGTCCTCAACACCTTGTGTCTCAACACAGGGGCTCGTACAACAATAGCAAGCACCCAACCCAAAAGTATCCACTTCTTTCCCCACTTGTCTCTTTTAATCCCAGAGCCCTATTTCTTTCTATAAGTTTACAAAGAACAGAGTTCACACCACTGTGCTGTGCCTGTCATATAGATCTATCAATATTTACATATAAAGATTAATGCAATTGTGAAAGTATCAGTACAGTTCAAAATAATATGTCTGTGCACACAGGCTGAATCATATCCATGCTGCAAGGATAAAATATAAACTCTATGTGCTCCTTCGGCTAGGCCAAGGGATTGCTATTTCTGTTGCCATAGAGAATTCATCTCTGTGAGGAATTGTTTGTGGTTCTTTTTTTCTCTTTTTAAATGTATCCCCTAAGCTTGGATCTGGAGCCTGTGGACTACTCAGGTATGTCCCATGACATTTGTTTATATCTTCAAAGATCAATTTTGTTATTTGTGAGCATCTAGAGGCCCCTCCAGCAGTGGGTATACAAAGCAATCCCATCAACCAAGCCTCTCTTATTCAGCTCAGTCAGATTCTTTTCAATTTACTTTCTCCAAGGGTACCTTTCTGTCTTGGTGGGCTGGCTCTGTCACCTTCCCACGCATGCCCTGCTGTGCCTTCACTGAGGCTGCCCACTCTGACAGACGTGGCTTCAGGACTTTCCTTCTTCAACACCAGTCTTGTTTTCAGAGCCAGATGAAAGGCCACCTCCTCTACGAACCCTCCTCTACCTACTAAGATTCCCACTGGTCTTGTTCCAAGAGCAGATGCTATCAAACTACCAGCCAGGTATTTATATTTAACTCTCTTAATGGCCTTTCAAGAGAATCTTCCACCAACAGAAGGCAGAAATTCCTTTCTATCTAAAATTACTCTAAGACCACTTTCTGCCTCTTTAATGAGACTGCAAAGCTTTTAGATGTTGGAAATCTTATCCTTCTACATGAACAGGTGCCTCAAACACAGATGATAAAGGAAAGAGATAATTATTTTGTACCACGTGAATTTCCAAGTCATGTTGTTACCTAACAAAGAATCCAGGTTTCACAATTGGTGGACAAAGAAAATTTATCAGAGGAATACGCTTTGCTTCCATGGATTTTTAACCAAAGGTGTACACCTAAAAATCAAACAAAACACACATACACAAAACCCTATAAATGTCAGTATATTTGAAACTCCCAAGGATTTGAAACCAGAGTCTTGTATATTCACTTTTAGACAAAACTGCTCTGCATTCTCCATCTACTACTTTAAACATTTTTCTCCCTAAAAAGTTAACTGTCCAGCCTGGTATTATACCAACTAAAAAAGAAAACAACAACTCCCTGCCATTCAAGTGAACGTGTTAATTAAACCTACAGAGTCTGGTAGCAAAGTTCTCCTCCCCAAAGAAGGGAATGGTATCAAAGCATTTTACCCAATGACTATCTCAGCCACCCGTGGAAGGCTTTCCCTGTAGAATGAGTCAATGTCCTTTAATAAAATTCATAGTGTTGGCAGCACCTAAGTAAGATTTCTTTCCCTCCCTGTCTGTTTCTGGCTCCAAGGTTTCTTCTGACTGTCAGAACACAGAACTGAGAACTATCATTACTATCTGTCACATCAGAGAAAGCAGCAGCAGCTTTCTCTAGCTATGCCAAGCTTGGAGAAAGAGAGAAAGACGAGGATGAGGATGAAAGAGTACTCAGACTAGTTTTAGGAGGGCACTGTTCCTCTCCCTGTGCTGTGTCATGAACTGCAAAATGCCATCCTTAGAGCATTTGATTTTGTTTAGCTAACCTTAGTATAAATGTTGAAAAGAACTGAAGGAGCAGAAATTTTAGAGAATGGGGAAAGATTCTGTTTATATCTGCAGTGAGAATGCAACACAGAAAATCCTTTCTGTCTAAAATCATTCTAAAATATCTGCGACCACATGCATCAGTAGATACAACTTAGTGCACACAACCCAACACTCACCTGTGCTCAAGATCTATTAGCAGTCTTAGGCCCTAACCCTCCATACTGTCATTATGCTGGCCTGGGAGCTATTCGCACTCCTCTCTCTTTCCTACATGTTCCTCTTCTGAAGTTTTTTTTTTTTTTTGGAGACATCTTTCACATTGGCTTGTTTCCTTGCCATCTGTCTTTGTTTGCTTTAAGAAGAATGCAGATAAAAATACACTTAATTCCAAAAGATGAAATTGCCAGGGTTAGTTTCGTGGAGAGCTTTGAGCCAACTGTCAGGCATCTCTGGCACCATCCTCTGGATGTCTTTAGAGCTGAGAGATTCTTCTCAATTTCCTCTCTCCAAAGGTACCTCTTGGTCCTGGTGGGCTGGCTCTGTCACCTTCCCACACAGGCCCTGCTGTGCCTTCACTGAGGCTGCCCACTTTGGCACAAGTGGCTTTAAGACTTTCCTTCTTCAACACCAGTCTTGTTTTCAGAGCCAGATGGAAGGCTACCTCCTCTAAGAACCCTCCTCATTCATAGTCGGGTGATCGGCACTGGCTACCAGGAATGACAAAAAGGGATGCCACATCGGGACAAAATAGCTTGGGAGAGGGAAAGAATGGGATGCACTGGTTTTGCTCAAGATTCCTAGTCTACAGATTAAGAAGGGAGGAGAGAAGGATACAGCCATTTCCAACTTTCATTTTCCACCTTACCATTCACGTTTTGGCTAAATCCCTAGAAGAGCGACAACTTGCTACCAGATAAGAAATTCAGCTTCTTGTGGTTATCCACAAGCTTGCAATTGTCAGTGTCGCTAGAAAGTCTTTTCAATAATCCTAAATTGGATCAGTGTGTCCTCTCTTTTCAGATTGTTAGACAGGTGCATGTGATGGAATTTTCTTTTGCAGCTGGGAAATGAGTAAAAGAGCAACCATTTCACAGAAATTTGTGGTAGGAGAATTCCATAGAATCTAAGAGTTGTGATAACGTTTTAAGTCTTTGGTTCATGGGACCAGATGTTGTTCACCACAGTTTCCCATGGCGGCTTCCCCGGTCAGGGGGCAGTTTCCTGGGGCTCCTCCACACAAACTCCTTAGGAGGCATCGGCGTTGGCAGAACACGTCCTGCTGTCAGCTCTTCTCAAGGTTGCCTGCCCACTCCTCTTTCCTTCTTTGCTCTTAACATTATGGAAGCAGGGAGCCTGCAAACCGTGCTTCTTGAAAAGGCTGACAGAAAATCCCGCAGCTCGATTT